CCGCGTCCTCCCGCGCGGCCCCGGGGCACAGGGGCGCGGCAGCAGGCCGGGCTGGGCGCTGCCGGTCCTGAGCCACCGGCGATGTGTCCTTAGTGTGTGCGGGTCGGGTGCTAGGCGTCTCGTAGCGGGGTTTGAGATCCCTCGGGGTGCTTTAGGGGCGGACTCGGCCCCTCGGAGCCACCTGCAGCTCAGGGCGCTTTGGGGCCGAGCCTCCGCCGCTTGCAGGCGAGGGAGGTGAGACTTGGGGTGCTGTGGTGGTTCAGAGCTGCAGCCGTAGCGCGTTCGGCCCTCCTGGAAACGTGGCAGCCGTGGTAGGCGGTCCGCAGGGCTGCCGCGGTCTGATGGGTTAAACCGAAGGACCGCACAGCGCCGCTTGAAAGTGCCGTCACGGTGATAGGTAAATAAGCATTGCTGCCGGGGAGGCGGGTCACACGCCTCTTTGAATGGGAACGGTGGATCCCTTCTGCGGCCTCCAGTCAGTCCCATTCTTCAGGTGTCAGCAGTTCTGTGAAATTACAGTTTACACGAGAGAGAGGTCAAGGTGACCTGTTTATTGTGGGTTTGGAGAGCGTAACAGCAAGCGCAGTGATGCCGCTCTAACGTTTCCAGGATCTCTTTCAAGGCAAGTGCGCAGATTTGGTGCACGGTGAAGTGTCCCATGTGCTCCTGGTAAATACAGAAGCTGCCTTCGTGGATGTGGCCTGGTTGCCATGAGCAGTACAGTTCTTTAAACCAGATTCTATAGCAAAACAAAAGCTCTACTGTACAAGTGCTTGATTTTTCTTTTTTTTACTAGAACTGCCATAATATTAGGAGGAAAAAAAAATGAGGCTTCTTTGCTCATTATGAGAAGAAAAAATGGTAAAATACATACGGGAAGAAAAATGGCTCTTTTTCTAATGGCCCCATTATTGGAAGGGTCACTGTGCAAGATGCGAGTGCAGTCTGCACTGCTCTGGAATATTGAGTCTTTAAACTTGTTACCCATGCAGCCTGTTTGATGGTTCAAATGGTCTGCTTTTTCAAGTGGTTTTAAGTAATGCCTCACTGATTGAATTATAATTTTCCTGACTTTGTAATTGCCAAGAATGTCCTTGGCAAAATATACATACAATGTGTTTCATCCAGTTTTGAAAAGTATTTTGTAATCAGAACAATAAAAGTTAATGTTCATCAGTTCCTCCCACCGCACTTTCAACGATTCACTTGTTTTCATGTCCTGCTTTTCTTTCTCCCTTTTTTTGGCGTTCTTACGTTGTTTTTTCCTCCCCTTTCTTTTCATTCTCCTTGTCCCTCAGTCACCCTCATCTTTATACCTTAAGTTTGTTTGCCTTTTATTTATAGGTTTTTATCAGATGTGTGCACCTACTTGTTGCAAGCTTCCTTACAATGTCTGAGCCTTTAGGATAGTTGAGAATCTCTTAATCTGGAAATTCTGTTCCTACTTTTTGTATTCATAATATAACCCAGCACAATTCTGGAGACTAAAAACTGCTGAGGATTATTTTTGTTTTTTAAACACTGAAAACCAGGGTTTTGTATTTTCTTTAATATAGAGCTGTGGGTGATGTGTCTTAGTCAGGTTTCCCATGCTGAAAGACCTTATTGTCTTTTATGGGGTGATGCTTTACACGTTCAAAACAAAGCAAAACCAGACAAACAAAGATAACGTTACTGTAAGGATGTTGTAAAAGAAACGGTAAGTTAGTTGCTAGGTGGTGTAAAAACTGAGTAGCGTTCAGTTATATGTGTAGAAATGAGCTAGAGTTTTCAAAGTATTACACAGGAAGGTAATGGGGAGGTTTCATCTGAAGAGCTGTCTGCTATACTCTTCTAAATGTTGGTGTGCAGCTCAGGCTGTGCTGTAGATTTACCCCATGCCATAACATGGCCTACAAGTAACTGGCCTGTGAAGAGTTTCTTTTTGAATTGCATTAGTTGTTTTTATGTTTAGAAAAAGAAGTAGCTGGCAAGTGCCCGTGTTTTTTCTTTGCTCATGTTTAAGCAAATACAAGGCCTTTGTAATATGGGAGGTTCTTGTTTCATGCTATTTCTTCCTATGTATATAAACAAACCTTGTGGAATACTGCAAAGCTCTCTGTAGGACATGCCCATTAAAGTCATTTGTGTTTATGCTATGCATCAAAAAGTTATGTGTACAGTAATAATGTAAAAGTCAAGTCCATCCACATGGTTTTTAGATGATGCTTCCTAAACTGCCCAAAGGATATCTAATGAAATATGTAATATGTCAAAGCAATCTGTACTAATAGCTGCATAACATTCATTTTGCCTGTGCCTAGTATGAATAATATAAAAATCCCAACAGAGTAAGGATGTGCATCAGGTGAACTTTTTGGTACTGTTGAGAGTCTGGGGAAGGATGGTGATGCAGAACGGTGACAGGGACCTGAGAGCTACCTTACGTCCTGAGTGAAGCATCTGCAAAGTGATCTCTACATGACAGCCACGGTCTGTCATGAGGAAGAGCTGGAAGTGTGGGTGAGTGAGTGGGGAAAACAAGGACTCATGGTTTTGCTGCATAGACTCAGTGGTCCATGAAGGTGCAGGCGGGGCTATGGGTTCCACCATCCTTCCAAACAGTTTGGTTCATTATTCTTACCTCACATGGACTGCCTGTAGCATGTAATTAATGAAATTACAGGTTCTGATTGTATGCTGTCTCAAACAAAACTTCCACTGAAGCCAAGAGGTATTACGAGTGCATAAGGAATGCAGGGTTGCATATCCTGCCTCTTGGGGCTTTAGGATGGTGAGTTGGAGCTACATATTAAACTCAGTTTAAGCCTTAATTTTTTCCCTCTGTGTTTATCCTAGTCTAGTTTCAGTTTTGCAATACGAAAACAACAAAATCACTATGTTAAGAACATAAGCAGCAGCATTCTTTTAAAAAATAGTACATTTACTATAATTATAATGTGGATTTAAGCCAAAAATAGGGAGAGATTTTGAGTCGTGAGTTTTCAAGCCATCTGATTATGTTGTTATACTTCAATAAACTTAAAACCAGTGGGTGCTGCATGAGATCTACGGTACTAGTCATCTGCAAGAAGTCGTCAGCCTTAAATGGACATTGTCAGTTGCTACGAAAATATTTTTTACATTATATTTTTAACTCTCTTAACATTTTTAAAGGTTTTAAAAATAGCGTTTCTCCATTAATCTTGATTCATCTTTTCCACTCGGCAAACACTGTTGGTTTTTTCTAATTTCCTGTGTGAAACTGATGTAAGTTTTTAAGTATATCTTTTTGTTTGTTTTTTTAAGAATATATTTTTGTTTGTTTATATCTTTTGTTTTGTCTAGTACAGATCTAGAAAAGCTTTGGAAATGGTATTTGTTTATTAACCGATAAATTGAAACTCTTTCATTTTCTGTGAGCTATCTCACATATTTTTGTTTAGATCCTTACAGGAATACGAGCTACTATTTTTGTTCTTCTCCTGTTTGCTGGTGGCAGAGAGTACAATTTAACATGTACATTTGAATTCCCAGAGATGTTATTGCAGTAATTACAGCAGACTGTACATCAGCATCACTTGTTATGTCAGCAGATCTTTGAGGATCTTGTTTGTCAACTGTCTAATGCTTCGCATCTTGGAAATGTCACTTGCATTTTTGTGGTTCCCTTAAAAATAGTGTAAGTTTAAGGCATTAGATGAAGTTCTCCAGCAAGGCTCTGTGCGAGACCTGTATTCGTTAGGGAACAGAGTGGAATAATTGTGTAGTTAGCAAGATGTTTCTGTGCTTTACCGGTTCGAGTAAGTGTGGAGGCACTAATGAGCCAATAAAGGGTGAACTAGGGCAGGAGATCAGCAAGCACTATACTTTGATGGAAAATAAAGCCTCAGTGAGCCAGCAAGATCAGCTTCTCACTTTCTTGCCAAAAAAAAATACACTGAAAACACATAGCAATAAAACCATTATAATTGGATCTCCATTCTGTAAATGTGTGTAAGTTTGTATGCATTATCCCTTTTCTTTTCAGTAAAATTTTGGCTATTCCTAAATGTTTTGAGGACTGGATCCTACTTTGTGGATGACGTACTGAACGTAAAGTTCCACTTTTCATCTTGAGCACAAGAATAGCTATTTACAGTATCACAGAAGGTCCCTAAAATCTGATGCATTTTCTCTGACAGGGGCCAGTAGAAGATTTCTCTGTGACAAATGGTAGGAAAAGCATAGGACCACGTGGTTGTATGTTCCAGCAGTCTGATGTCTAGGAGCTACTGAGCCAAAGGTTGTCTCCATGTGTTTGTATTTAGAAGTTTCTGGTGCTCATCTGCATGAAATTGTTGAATCACTTTTGAACCCACGCTTAATTTGATATGTATCATAAGTGGTGGCAAAGCTGGCTTGGGCATTTACAAAAACTTCTTCCATTTGTTATTTCCCCCCCCCCGACTTCTTCCTGATCAGTTCATTCGAGATCCCCAAGTTTTGCACAGTCAGAATTGGGTTTTATGTACCTTTATTATACTTTGCATGGTTGTCTGTCTCAAAACTGAGGAGCACTAGTCAGTCTGATAGAAACTGTTTCGTTATCTTCAGCTCCCCTGGATTCCTATGCTGGTGAAAATGAAGGCTGTTAGAAGTGTTATAGCTGTCTTCTTGTTTGTTAAAGAATAAAATTCAGACCTGTAATCTCTCATAAAATGGTAGTAAGCAGATTTCCTTTACACACTGTTGTTCTGCGTTCAGGCTGATGTATGTGCATCTGCGCATTCAGAGGAAGGACTTTTCCCCCAGCTCTTTAGTTTGAGTGTTTGCTGTAGGTCTGGATATTCTAAGTTGGCTGGTGTCCATGTGTAGAAAACTTTTCTGATGTTTTTTGGTTTTAAATAAGTATCAGCAACATTTGTAAACTTATGGCAAGAAAAATCACTCTCATACCTGAATGTGTGTGCTGTTTTTTCAGTGAACAAAATGGACATATTTTTTTTTAGTTGAAGAAATCTGCATGGATCAACTCCTGGCAAGAAAATCAGAAGTGGTTAAATAAAGCAGTTTATAGAGTCTCCTTTATATGCAATGAGAAGATTGAAATGAGTTAGTGAAAAAATTAATACATTAATTCAGTATTGTGGGACACACATTTTTGTTTATATACATACCAGAGAATTTCTTTGCTTGTAAAAAGACATCGCCCCTCCTGTTTATCTCCTAGGTGCAGAGTGCTTTTGGGGAATAAGCAGCTGCTGAGTCATGCTTTCACTCGAATGACTGACAACCCTTGCTTATACTAAGAACTGGTAGACCTTCTCTTCTGTGTATCGGGTGAGCAGTGTTACGCCCCTTACTTAGGAAGTGAAAGCATGACGCAGCGTTACAGCCGACTTTGTTGAAAATGCTTATGCAGAGGAATGGAAATGTGTTTATGCAGCCATGTAAAGCAAATCAAAATCTATCCACATTAAATTATTTACTGGCAGTAATGATTTGTTATTAAAGAAAATAATATAATAGTGTTCATTTCAATGTGCTGAACTAGCAGTTTTGCAGTGCAGTTATTCAAAGGGAATTTTGCCTGAGTATATGACTAGTAATAGAACTGAGAGAGGCATGGTGCTCTCTGTTGGCAGTTTCCTGAAGAAAGAAAAATATGTACATAACTAGAGTGGTTAAGTCTAACCTAGATAATGTACACTTTATGATACCAATATATAACCTATATTGAATAGTTTATGAGGCCAAAATAAATTATAGGAAGCTGTAAACATTGCCTTCCTCTTCGTAAATGTAGGAAGGTTTTATTATGGAACTATAAATATGTCCAGTACATTTATTTCCCTCCTATATGATGTTTTAAATTCTCTTTTCCTTGAATGTGTAAGTATGTATTTGGATTGTGACAAGCAGAGTCCAGTTTACATTTACAGAAGTATTTGCAGGTGTTACTTAATTTAAAATCCTCTAAGTTGTTAATGTTGCTGCTAGAAGCATAATTATTCAGTAGACAGCACAGTACTTCATATTTCATTTAACCATTGCTTTTTTTGTTAAATGTATAGCTATAATCTTTTAACAGAGACTGAAATTTACCTTTGACCATTAAAGATGTTACTGGCAGTTGCCATATCAACACACATCTTTTTGAGATTTATGGGACTCCATAAAAAGGTTTGTCAGTGCATTCAGCAGGGAAAGAGAGAGTGCATTTATTTGGTTGTTGCTGTGGAAGTGCTTATTACACCATTCTTCTGATGGCCTTCTTTGGATTGAGAAAAGATGATGGTATGAACTTTGGGTGATTTGGATTTTGTTACAGCCCATGAGTAGCTCAGTTGCCATAATACTGACATAAAACTTTGCTGTGTAGGAAGCTTACTCATCTGAATAGGGTCATGTGGTCATCATGTGCATGATTTTGTGCATGTACTAAAACTTTTGCAGGACTGGATGTGAGAGATTTCATGTTGCAGTATTTGTGATAGGGTATACCTGATGGAAATAATGGCACTGGAATTTGGTACGGGTTTTGTCACGCTGTACTAAGAAATCTTAAGCTTTTGTTGTGGTGTGACAGGAAAAAGTAACTGTAAATTGTACCAATTATCTGAAGAATTTGAAAATAGCAGACAGTTCTGTAAGGAACTTACATGTATAGAATACATCATGATATTTTGTCGTTTAACTCAATTAACACATACGTGACATGGGTGGCATGGTTTAGTGTGAGGTGTCCCTGCCCATGGCAGGGGGGTTGTAACTAGATGATCTTAAGGTCCTTTCCAGCCCTAACTATTCTATGATTCTGTGTGGAACAATCTACATAACTCACAACCACCTCATGTTAAGAAATGCAGAAAGTCTAGATCACAAACTCTCCTGTTTACTCCACATACAGTACTCTTACATGCACATGCGGACAAACTTATGAGCAGGTGAACTTGGCTGCTGTTAATGACCAAGGAAACTACAGGAAGGAATGGAATCCCTTCACTAGAAGTTTAGCATAATTTAAAATACTATCTTGTGAGATATCGTTAAGTAGATTTGTGAATTAATATCAACACAGGTGATACATTTAAAAAGAGGAACATGCTATAATGGGACTTCAGAGTTAATCATGGCTAGTGAATGCTATTGTTAAACACAAATAGTTCCTTTCTGTTCTGATTGCTAAGTTATTTTAACTTTATTTAACTTCTTTTAAACTGTTAGTTTACAGTACTCCTCCAGGTCATGACCTAATTTGATATAATTTTCTAGTAAACAATCTGAAATGAAAAAGTCTCACAGAGAAGTAAAATAGTTGAGCTAATAGTATGAATGAAAACTTTGTTATAAGATGAAGGGAATGAAGGTTAATTATGTCCTGGACATGCCCATCATTCCTGGACCCAAACCCCCAATTTTTACAAATATAGTTTATTTTAATATTGTTGGGATAGTATGTAACAAGTACCATCTGTTGTCAGATAGAAATTCAGAGACCTTCACTGTTGCCAAAATGGTCTTAGAAAACGTACACATTTAGAAGTAGTTTTTACCTAGTTGTATGTTTATTGGTGACTTTCAGTATATTTAGTGATAGGACAAAGGGTAACGGGTTAAAACTTAAACAGGGGAAGTTTAGATTGGATATAAGGAAGAAGTTCTTTACTGTGAAGGTGGTGAGGCACTGGAATGTGTTGCCCAGGAAAGTTGTGAATGCTCCATCCCTGGCAATGTTCAAGGCCAGGTTTGATGGAGCCTTGGGTGACATGGTTTAGTGTGAGGTGTCCCTGCCCATGGCAGGGCATTTGGAACTTGATGATCTTAAGGTCCTTTTCAACCTAATTATTCTATGATTTTATGATTCTATATGCAGCGGAAATAGAATCATAGAATACCAGGTTGGAAGGGACCTCAAGGACCATCTGGACCAACCTTTCTAGGCAAGCATGACCTACATTAAATAAATGTTTTCCCAAAATGTTATAGCCCTTCAAAACACCTTTTACTACTGTAGGGATCTTGTATTTATATAATATTATGTTGCTTGTAATCGAAGACCTTCTGTGGGGATTGGGCCCCAAATCCCACAGTTATTAAAAGGCAGGTGTGGGAGTCAGTCTGTGTAGTCACTACAGGCTTTTGTAGGTAAACAAAATACTTTCTTACTGAGTGCTACATTTAAAAAAAATAAGTTAGTTCAAGTCTGAAGCTCCAGCTGTTTATAAATCATGGTGAAGACAGTATTAGATGATGATGATCTATTTTTAAATGCATACATTAGGTAATAGGTTTCTGTGTGAGCACCTGAGCCCAGCATTCAGGGAACAGCCTTTGCATTTCAAAGTGTAGCTGTTCTTCTTTCCTATCCAATAGAAGTCCACAATCTAAAAGTACCGAAGAATAGTGAGGGCTTACATTATTTTATAGAGTGCAAAATATGCTAGTACATTTATTGTAACATCTCTTAAGGTTTTATATTCCTTATTATTGAATTAATTAAACAAGGAGAATTCTACTTCTGTAAGTTAAGAGGACTGTGCAAATGCTTGTAGTTTTAAAGCACATGTAAAACTTTAGTTTCAAAGCACTTGTAGAACTTTACAGTGTTGCCCTACCAGGTTTCATGCTTGTGTACATAAGAATGCATGCATACACACTACCATATGTGGATAATCATTGCTGTATAAGACCACATAAGTATTTAAACAAATATTTCAGCAGTAGAAGTTACAAATCTTTTTGTTATTATGTACCCCTAAAATACCTGCAATAACCAATCTGTGATTCTTTTAAACATTATCAGAACCTGTATGACTAATTCAGCTCTTTATCTATCTGTGGGTAATCATGTGGAAGCTAGGCACACAGGAATGCTGTACAGATAATATAATTGGTAGTGTAAACCTGAGTGGGCAGGCAGTTGGATTTTCTTCAGTCAGCTCTTCCTAGCCACTGTCTTTGAATCTGTAATCCTTCTGAGCCAAGCGTGGTCTCAGGTTCCAAATGCACATTCATGCCACGATAAGAAACTTGCTGCAGAAAGGTTGTGCTGTGTTGGGGTGTCACTGCTCTCAGAGCCAAACCGGCTGTGAAGCTCCCTCACTTGTTTCAGTGCAAAATCAGTGGCTTTCCAGGGTAATTTTAAGCAACATAAGATACTTTGCATAAAGTTTGTAAGGAAAGCTCACATCTTTCATCAGTTTGGCTCTGGACGCTGTATCTTTTGCTAAATTTGTGATCACAAACATCTGGTGACTGGTAATTGTTCTTGCAGCTGGGCTGAGTTGAGATACATGGTGTGCTCTGGGATGCAGATGAATGGAAGAGGAGAAGAGACAGAGGATGGTGTGATCTGCTGTTATCTCTGGTAATAGTTTGACTTCATTCAGTGGGGCATCTATGTCCTTGAGATCAGTGGAGTCAGCAGGTCCCTCACAGGCATGCGGGCATTAAGATCAGGCCCCAGGTTTGTAGTCTCTCATGCCCAGTGATGGGTAGAACATTTAAACCTTTGCTTTCTGTTAAATAGTCTAATACAAAAATTGCTCTCATGGTATTTTACTTTTATAGGTGTAAAATGACAATCATATAAATGAGGTGCAGGTTTTGAGTAACAGTGAATACTACCATGCAAGCAGTGCAAGGGGGATTATTGAGGGGGATTCTCTGAGATCTAGTCCAAATTACCTGAGAAATCCTTTCTCTAAATTTAAAAAGACAGATTATGCCTTTCTGTGTACACACAGTTGTGAATGAAATCAACGACAGAGACATGTTCCGGTCTGTAGAGGAGAAGTATTTGACACAAAGCATTACTTTCTTTTCTTCTGCCAACTTCAACAATACCAGGAAATATGTTCCCAAGCAAAGGGATAATTCAATTAAAACTCCAGTTAGAATTTATCTAGATTAAGAATAAAAACCAGGGAACACTGAGCCCACCCTGGAGTCCAAAGAGCAGGTTCTGGTTAATTGGAAGCCTGAGGAGCCCGTCTCCTTCCTGTTGTGGGTGGTGGTAAAATAGTTACAATAATTAATCTGGTCTAACTCTGTAGCTAAAATTCTCCTGTGGGAAAAACCATTTCAGGAGAAAAATGACTTTGAAGAACGAGGTGAATGCTTTATTCTAAAATGTTGTGTCTACACAAGAAACAGTTATTTTCCTAAAGCTTGTTTATTCATTTTGTCACGAAGTAATTTCTTACAAAACTCCTCAGTATTCATATACAATTGTCAGGCATTAACACGGTCATGAATGTTTTTAAGCAATCATCTTGTTACTGGTTTTGGATTTTTTTTCCTTTTTATTTAGAAAATATTTCTATTCATTCCCAAGAAGCCATTTTCCTACTTTCTCCCTTTTCTCTCAGTTGCTGTAGAGATGTTGGTCTTTGACTTTTTCTTAGAATCATAGAATAGAATCATAGAATAGTTAGGGTTGGAAAGGACCTTAAGATCATCTAGCTCCAGCCCCCCTGCCCTGGGCAGGGACACCTCACACTAAACCATGTAACCCAAGGCTCTGTCCAACCTGGCGTTGAACACTGCCAGGGATGGAGCATTCACAACCTCCCTGGGCAACCCATTCCAGTGCCTCACCACCCTCACCCTAAAGAATTTCTTCCTTATATCCAATCTAAACTTCCCCTGTTTCAGTTTTAACCCATCACCCCTTGTCCTATCACTACAGTCCCTAATAAAGAGTCCCTCTCCAGCATCCCTATAGCTCCCCTTCAGATACTGGAAGGCTGCTATGAGGTCTCCACGCAGCCTTCTCTTCTCCAGGCTGAACAGCCCCAACTTCCTCAGCCTGTCTTCATACAGGAGGTGCTCCAGTCCCCTCATCATCCTCGTGGCCCTTCTCTAGACTTGTTCCAACAGTTCCATGTCCTTTTTATGTTGAGGACACCAGAACTGCACACAATACTCCAGGTGAGGTCTCACAAGGAGCAGAGTAGAGGGGCAGGATCACCTCCTTCAACCTGCTGGTCACGCTTCTTTAAATTTAGAGGTGGTATTTTTTAGTGGGGGTGGACTAGATCAA